ATTCAATCCGATGTAAGGTAGACGAACCAGTCTTCAAGCGATTCCTTTCCTATATTAGATGTCAGCCAGGTAGCCTTACATATGAGACTGAGCCTAGCGAATAAAGGCGCACTTGGGGTAGGGAGTAGAGAAGGGTCAATGTGAATTGAGTCTCAGGTGAGCTGCTAGCTTTGATTCCAAGTTAGGCTTATCCTGCTGAAAAAGGAGCTTGGGATAGACATGCGTCATTGGACGACTCAGTGCATGGATCTCCTTCTTTTGACGAAGTGAGCTGCAAGGACGAATTCCAATGGTGGTAGTTTTTTTTAGAGCCCCACCCTATCACGAGAGTAGCAAGCAAGGGGAGAGGGCTAACTCGAAATTGCATAAGAGAAGAGCTTCGGGTTCAGAAGTACTATGTCTGGTTCACTAGGTTAAAGAAGGGAAGAATCATGGTCGAGCTATATGCTTAACACATGCAAGTAGGACCTTCTTTTCGCCGAGAGAAGATGCGGGGTAGCTCAACAGGACTGAAAATCCTTCTTGCTTCGAATCCACTGAAATTAAAGATTTTTAGCCTGTGCTAGAGAATAGACTGTCGAAGCGGTGGAAGACTGTTAGCAAGAAGGTTTTGAGTTGAGGTTTGAAGGCAAAAGGCAAAGCTCTAATCTAGGAATCAGTAAGGGAGTTCACATCTGGAAATCAATCATCTCTTTCTCTTCCCTGAGAAGGGCTTATGTAGACAAGACTAGCTGCTTCTTCTTTGCCTAGCCTTGATTGTTGTAGGATGGAATGCTTATCCATTCGCTTTCCAGTTTAGCGGTGCAAGCTTTCTTTCCATTCCCTCTTAGTGTTTTAGGTTAGAAGGTGTTCCATCTGTCGGCTAAAGGGACATTGCTTTTTCCGCTTTCAAGTCATCCGATTCGGTCTCTTCTAAGTGGTCCATTGGGGTAAGCGCGGGAGCAGCAATCCATTCCGTCGCTCTATTCAAGCCTAAACCTTACTTACTCCTAGTAGGCCAATCATTCCTTAGGAGAGGAAGCAGAAGCTAACTAAACAGGAACTCGAGACAGAGGAGTTTAAAGAGAACAGCTTCCCTAATCTAATAAGGAGAGAAGCCTTGACGCAGCAGTCAACTACTTTGGTTTCGGAAAGTAGCTAAGGTTTGGAACACTCGGCATCATAAGCCGTAGTTAGGATCGGAGTGAAAAACAGCTTTCCAAAGATCTGGCGTTTAGTTGTTGACTAATACGGATATTCCCTAAACAAGGAAAGCTAGAGCAGCAAGGAATGCAGGAAAGCTTGTCCCGGGTAGGGCAAGGAAAGCTGGAAACCTATGATCATTCTGCCTAGCTTAGCTCCCTGAAAGCTGAGAGCAGTTCAATCCGATGTTTGCATTTCTATTATATGAAAAAAGCAATCTTTGCATTATAGACTGTATCGAGTCGACGCATGCAGTGGCGCGAATCACCTGGTCACCGATCTTCAAGGTGACGGGAACATTCCATCTCTGATAGATGTGAAAGGGGGCTAAAGGTGGGGAAGGAGGGACGTAGGATTTATTCTGGAGGGCAGCGAGCTCAAACTCTCCACTAGCACTCTAACCAATGCTTTTAACTGCTTTCGGGAACAGATTGCTGGAGGATTTAGTCGTAGCAAGAACAGTAGCCTGCCTGGCTCTACTAGTCAAGTAGAAAGAAAAGTCAAAGTTGGAATAGACAGACCGCAAGTCAACAAGGATTTCATCACCGCTGCTGGTCTTCCCACTTGCAACTGGTATCTAAGACAAGAGAGTGTTCTTTTCCATTCTCCAAGGGTTATAAGTTCCTTATGTTAAAGAAGCAGCTAGTTCATCGGCATCTGTTGTCGTTGAATGAATAAGCGAAAAGGGCGAACTCCTGATATAAGGAAGCTCCCATAGAGCTGGATCGGACACCTGAGGTCCTTAGGCGGGAGAGATCAATTCGTGATAGGCCTTCAAGATGAAGCTCCATGCTGTATTGAGAGGTTGGGGGTGTAAAGGCCCCCTCATTGTGGCTAAAGGGATAGATACTGTATGTGTAGCAGGCGTGTGTGATTGAGTTCAAAAGGTAATTGGGTTGATCCCGACTGATAGTCTCGATGGAGCAGAGGCCAAAGCTAGGATGGAGATGATTCAGAGACAGTTGGAACCCTACAATTTCATTCTGCGATTGAGTTTCTAGGCCAAGGTCCTCGGTGGTCTGTCGCCCTCCCTTGAAATGAGACAGCCTTTCGAAGAACCATCCGTTGATGCCTACTGTAGGGTACAACAAAGAGTAGAGCTAGCTATCCAGATAGCTGATCTTGGGCCATATACCGAGCCGCTGACTTAAACGAGCACTAGACCGCTCACTAATATATGGATTGACGAAAGAAGACAAACCCTAGACACACTGATTGTAAGTTAGTCTTCCGCCAACTATTGATGTTCACTCTTTTTTCCAAAAATGGAAATTCCATAGAACTCCTTCATAATTCTACACTGGCATCAACAACCACAAGGGCTTTTTGACCCTTCCTTTGTTACCGGGCATTCATACATTCTTCCGCTACCAGCAAATGTCGATATCGGCAGTCTACCTTATTAAGGAAATCGAGCTAACAAGAGGTTTGTTTTAACCCTTATTTAAGATGCCTTTCTCCTACCCTTGCTTATAGACAGTGAGTGAGCGGAGAAAGAGCTTAGAGCCGATGCAAGACTGATAGGCTTCAGTTTCAGTCTGTTCCGCGTGAGCTCCAAGGGAAGCTGAATGTCATTCTGACAAGGAAGTACGCCACCAAGGCCGGAGTCACTAGGATATAGAAGGTAAGCCCTACACTCAAGGGTTGGGAAAGATGAGATTCCCTCTCCTCTCGCTGATGGTTTGAGAGTTGGTTGGCGAGACCCCGGAACGATGTATGAAAGAGACTAGCTATCGAAGTGGATGCTGCTTCTTATGAAAAAGCCCTCGATGCTGTGTGAAAGAGTGGCGGGGAATGACTGGGCTCAGGAGTCAAGTCAACATAGTGTGGAAAGTGGGGTCGACCTTCTAGTCCCTTGTAGGGAAAGAGAGGTTATCTAGGCAGATAGAGAAGGAAGTGCCAATAAACGATCGAGAAAGATCTGGCTCCTCAAGCCCTTCGCTTAAAAGAACAGGTGGACAAACGAACAAGCTACTATGAAAATAATTCGCGAAAGTCATTTCATTAGTTCAATTACTGCTCTAGAGTCCCGATATGAGCTTATTTGCCAGTCATAGTTAATTTATTTTAGATTTCGGCTCGCTAACGACCTCGGTATCCGATGTTACTTATAGTAGTAGTATCGAACGGATGAAAGAGATTGCTCCTCCAGCACTAAGGTTTTTTGATGATCTTTCGTCTATTCTCAAGGGCTAACAAAAATCTTAGTGGTCGGCTACAACCCATCTGCTTCGGCACATGAATCTAACTCTCGAAATGCCCTTTCTTTTGAATATCTTTCGATTCCCATTGACTTAGGCAAAGAGACCCCGCTCTATTGAATGAATCTGACTAGTTCTTCTCCGAGTATCTCTTCTTCACCGTTATTAATTAACTACTTGAATCAGCCCACGTAGCGGTATTAACTAAAGCATTTTAGAAACCGTGCTTTCGATGGCAAGGCCAGAACAACCAAGGGACAGGATTGATTTTCCAAGTTAGACTGCTGCTCGACCGGATATTTCACATGCTCCAATACATCATGATCAGTTCTTCGTTTAAGCCTTCTTCTTGAATATTCCTTTTCAAGTGCCCAGCCCTCATTTCACAGTTGACAGCAACTTGCGAGCCCTTTTTTAAGCTTTTGAGGAAAAATAAGGGATGACGATTGTCATCAAGCTTTCGATAAGATAAAACAGTATCTGCAGAATCCTCCAATCCGAGCACCTTTGGTAAAGAAAGGCAGCCTATATACTTTACAGCGTAACTGGAAAAGACTCTTAACGGAGTCGCATCCGAGTCTTCCATCATTCAGCTCTCAGGATAACGAGGTAAGCGTTGCCTTGTCTCGTTAAAATAATGAATTGAATTCTGTTGCCATACCAAGAAGTCAAATTCTAACTAAGAGCGTCGTATTCTAGCAACCATCATTAATCTCAGGAAGCAGATTCGAGAATCACTTTCTTGTAGCTTAACTACCAAGCCAGCTGCCTTGCTGCTTTAGATGGAAAAAGAATCCTGATGGTGTGCCTTTCGAGGTGTAGTGTATTACAGATTCCACTTTTAACATTAAGGGAAGGCGCTGACTAGCCCTGCTCAACGCCCTACACCCTTCTCTTGAGCGCTTCATTGAGCATTTCTCTTTCCTATCCCGTCCTTACGCTACGCTATCCATAAGGTTGACCTAGCCCTCTCTTCTCTCTCTTTGTCCACGCGAAGATTCCATTCCTTTCCTAGCCTATTCAATGTGGTCATGTAATAGAATGAAATGGGAAGACCTACTAGTTGGACCCAGACTGCGATGGTAGTGAATGTGGCCTCAGCTCCCACAAATGCAGGCTCAAAAAGCCTTAGACTGAGATAGTACCACAAAGCAGGGGTTAACATAAATGACTCTATGGAAGTCCTCTCCCACTTGAAAGCTAAATAAGGAGAAGACCAAAATCAATGCATTCCATTCTTAGCAGAGGTTCCTTCCATCTAATCCCTCGAAGTACTTCGCTCACCTTCGAAGAGTGAAATTCTCATTCAAAGCAGACTAAAGGCATAGGGCAAAGGAGCTTAGAAGGGTGACGGAGGGAAGTAGTAAGGTATGAAAGAACTTAGATAGAAGCATGTTGGATGACGGAACGATGACTTAATGCAACAATTATGTTATGGATTTTTTACCTTGAGAAATGACGTAAGTGATAGATGAAATCGTTCAGTAGGCTAATCTTGACAGTTGACATTTTCGATTGAGAAAGCGGCAGGCCAGCTCTACAGTAGTGCCTTGAGAGGTCGTAGAGCCGGTAACCCTCGTTCGCCTAAGATCTAAAATGCTCTCTTTGTGATTGAGAATGAAGACTCTGTAACGCTATATATATGCTTAACACATGCAAGTCGTACTATGTTTTCGATCAGATTTTCAGGGTAAGAATAAGAAGCGGGGTAGAGTAATGGTTAACTTATCAGGCTCATAATCTGAAGACTGCAGGTTCGAATCCTGTCCCCGCCTGACTGATGAAATTCTATATCCACCTTTCTATTCCTGCCATAAGTGTTCGACCCCTTCTAGTCTAAACCCTACCTCTGAGGGAGCGGAATCTGCTGATGAGTTCGTCGGGGATGATAGGCTTATCGTGGATGATCTAGTATCCAAGTTCCCGTCCTTGGGTATTATCTACCTCGGGGAGAAAGAGGCAAGCAATAGGAATAGTTGTCCCAGCCTTAGTTCTGATGAAATGATTCTATTTATCCGGCTGTAGGGTAGAAAAGTGGAGGAACGGATGTTACCTTTCCATCGGACCTCTCCATGATCATAAGCCCCAATTGAAAGCGTGAAGCCATCATTGGGCATAGTAGTGCAGGAACAAAATCCCCCCGGGTTGATCATCCGCTACGAATAGTTTTCCCTCTTCTGCTTTATCACGTGATTAGGAGTGAGATTGCCTCCCCGTGACCAGTGCCTGTCATCCCATCCCTTTGTCGAAGTCCACCCCCTCCTCCTCTGGGATTGAATATCCATCCCTTGCCGAAGTATCAGCGCCGGAAGAGAAGAAAGAAATAGGATATGGGTGAGCAGTGGGGAAAAGAGGATGAATCTCATGCTTCGCTAACCATTTCCGCACATTGATCTATTAGTGGACAATAGAGTTTACAGCATGCTGTCTTTTATGGATGACTTCTCCGCTTAGAATCAAATGTTGATGGCGGAGGAGGACAGAGAAAGGACATCATGAATAACTCCATGGGGCACGTTCTGCTACCGGGTCATGGCCTTTGGACTTCAAAATGCCGGAGCAAGATATCAAAGCAAAGGGTGCTGACCGCTTTCTTCCACGACCAACGTCCCTGATTCGAAGAGGTAGCTTAAAGTTTTTGCTGGGGCCTAAGGTAAAGACTCTCTGGATGTCAAATCAGTTTCGAAGGACTGATGTAATCGGATTTAAAAGCACAAACTGATAACAGATTCCCCAGCTACAGATTTTGAAAAGGAAGGCGCTTCGACAGAAACTCAAGAAGGAAGAAGGAGCGGTACGTACTCTAAAAAGAATATATCTCAGATGTGAAGGGCGGCATAGACAAGAGAAAGAATCTCCAAAATGGCATTCTTCGAACAGTGTAGCGCTTAGGTCGTTTGGGAAAGAGATTTGAGTGAGCCGGTAAGCCCTTCCTAACAAGGTGTTGAGAAAGATATAGAATCAACTGCAAACATAGCATCGGTAGAGCCATCATCTGGAATTCCTAGTCTTTTCTTTATTTGTTGATATTGGCCCGGGTAGTAAATGCCTGAATCTATACCTGAAAGGTACCATCTAGTTAGGAGATTACGTTCGTTAGCTTTTGGAATTGATGAAATTGGTTGAATCAGCAATTTTTGAATCGAGCTGGAGTGGCATTTATATATAGATAGGAAGCAGTCTTGTAACTGTGAATTGGTCCTACTATAAGGTTCAGAAAGAAGCCCCACTCCTTGGGTTCGTAAGAAGCGGATGAAGACGGGCATGTAGTGGGGGGTACGGTTTCAGTCACCCCTTACTTTCAACTTTCAGGATCAAAGCTCCAGTCATCGAGGTGGGAGATTATGGATCAGCTAGCTATAGAATAGAAAGAACAAGGGAACTCATCGACCCATCCAACAGTTGGAGATATAACTACGACTCCAATATCCGATATGACAGAAAGAGAAAGAGTCGTGAATGTAGGTGGGACGGTACGGATTCATACAAGACCTTGCCCACACGCTCTGGCGAGATAGGATCGATTACATCTAGAAATAGAACCTTGGAAATGCTATCTATTGACTCGACTCACTCAAAGCCAGGTCTGGTCTTAAGCCGGACAAGAGATTCTGACTGGGCTAGGCGTCATACTAAGTTTACCCGCACATTAGTGAAAGTGGAACTAGACTTTGATCTCTTTTCAGATCATATAAGATACCTTTCTATATCCTCTAACCCAATCCAATTTAGACACAAAGGATGCCAGCCACTTATATTATAGGCTTTCTTGGTAAGCTAATCCTCATACTCAGGTGCCCTAGAAGGGGAAAACCTTAAATTCTCGGATCAAGAAGAAGTCGTCTTACGTTCTATCAATAAACAACCAAAACGACCAGGAGGATAGAAAGCAGTAGTGGTGCCATTACCTTTTCCTTTAGAATCTCCACTCAGGGCAGGCTTCTCTCATTGGAACGATCCGATCACCCTATTCTCAAGCTCCTTAAATGAGGAATCCCCCAAAAGGGATTCAGAATAAGTTGATAGCGGTCCTTATAACTCACTCTTCGGGTTCAGCTAGTCGGGAACAACCAAGAAGAATAGGTATTGATGAGCACCTTTAGCGAGAAGCTTGATAGCCCCTTGTTAGACCTGAGTCTATAGCTTTGGCAGCAACTGATCTATCTCTTTATGGTTTCCTCGGATCAGCTAGCTGAACTGGGCTTGGAGCACACACGTACCCCTCTTAGGATAGGATGCATGTCCCGAAAGACAGATAGGCTCTTTGATCAGTCCTATAGCCCATCTTCGTCTCAGTGAAACTAGGTCAGGAGAGAACGGCTATTCCTTTTTTCACCCAAGGTAACATAACATTACAGGCGAACAACCGCTTCTCAATTGGTTCAAACCCAGTCCTCCAATCAATCCCATTCAGGGTTGAGCATATTGGATTGGAAAAGACTTGACCCTCGTTACAAGAGTGAATTGCCTTGAGTTCATACTGGAATCTACAAGGCAGTTTGCTTTGCCTTTCTTTGTTTCTGGCAAGAGGAATTCCACTTTACACCTTTAAAAGAGTTCTTTCATCGTCCGGTTCTCTAAACTCGAAATAGGAGGGAAATGTAATCGGCAACGAAGTAGCCTCGACGTCGGAAGAGGTTACCTCTAAGCTTGCTGTCCGAGTACGAGTAAGTAAAGGAGTAGACCTTGTTGCTATCACGGTTTTCCCGATGAGAATGCTAATGGGAAGGCCCATACTGTCCATAGCTTGGAGAACAAGCTGTAACCTTTGAGCTAAGCTCTTTCCTGGGCTTGAGGAGCTTCAGGTGTATGGGTTCCTGAAGCGGGTGGGAATTCCTGTTCAAATACCTTTTATTACCAAGGGCAATGTCCGGCTTCCGACCTGGCTTTAAGCCTTTCCTTTTTAATGGGCCTTCTTAGTTCCCGTGCAAAGTAGTAGTTGATTAGCTGTCTTCGTTCATCGAGTAGGCGAATGTAAGGAAGTTTGCCTGAGTACGAGTAGAGGATTGGTTTATAGAGTGAGAAACCTCTCTCTCCTCTCTGGTTGTGGGAAAAGCTCGTTAACTGACTTCAACCTCTCACACACACCTGAGTAGCGATCTAGACTTTTTTATTTCATTCATTGCCCGAACTAGGTGCTGCATAGTGTCAGCTTTGTCTTTCTATCTTATTTATGAACAAGAAGGTCTTGGATCTTTGACTCGAAAAAAGAGTCCTGGAGTGTCCATATGAACCCCGTAACTGGAGTCATTCAAGAAATTAATGCGTGGGGGAATAGATGCAAAGAAAGATTCCTCGCGCTAAGGAAATAAGAGAGAGCCAGCATGAGTAGCTTCAGCTGCTTTTCCTCCGGCTTAAACTTCCCTTTCATTACCAGCCAACTCTCGTGCTAAACTAAAGAAAAAAGACGAACAAGAAAGGCATCAAGGCGAGGAAAAGTCTCAAGCAAAGAATCTTTTAAAGCAAAGTGTTAAAGTAAAGGCTGCTTACCTTACCACCGGGTTCTAGACCCCTTTCATAGAATCCAAAGAGGAAACAGTTTAGTCATTACAGCTTCGAATATGGGCCCTGCAGCAGGAAAAGAAAGAAGACTAGTAGCGGAGGAGGAAACGAGTTAATGGCCGGCCTGCTCATCGTGATAGGCGCTCCTGAGTTGATTCCTTGAGAGGAAAACCATTCTTAAGAAAGGCTTTTCGTTCTGCACATCCGAAATAGGTTGCGCGGCAAGACGGATATGCTCTCCATCGCTCAGGATGACACCTGAGTTGCTTAACTACACCGAAGATGCTTTCTTTATACTAGTTCGGGGCTCTGTAAAGCTCTTCTTCTAGTTAAGTGGAAATCCCATTACGGGTGGGCAACTAGTGAGTAGTGACGTAGCTCATGAGCTTGTTCCAAAGCAGTTCCAATTGACTGTATGAGGATACAAATTCAAAGAATGAAGCCGGTCGTTGGGAATAAACAGTTGTTTGCCTCCATCTTATGTGCGAAAAGAAAACGATAGATATCACTATAAAAGACCTTGGGTCGAATATCGGTCATACCACTCTTTCCCCCTTCACAATAGAATTTGAACACGTCGATCATAATGGAAAGCCTCTTTCCCCCGGTCAGTGACGAAAGTTACCAGGAGCAGTACTTCTCCCGCCGGGCTACCTAGCTGAAACATCTCAGTAACTACCGGCAGATCAAGTGGAAGGCCAGAAGAGTAGGTATGGCCGTGGATGATGATCAAGTGCTACGGGGAAAGCAGAACGATCTGGTCTTCGACATACTCTTGCTCCGTCTGCAGATTTCGGGGGTGCAGGACGAGATGCGCAGTGCAAGTCGAGTGAGGTAGAGCATCATTCATAGGCGAGCAGGCGAGTTGTCCCATGTCTAGTCGAGTGTGCGAGCGGGATAGTCGAGTGGATGGATGGCAGCACGGCGAAGGAGGCTAGCGAGGGAGAGGTTTTTTTAACCTATATTATAATAAAGCTCTATTTGACCTGACCTAGTTTCAAAGGCCTGAAGGAGCGGAGCCCTTAGGGTGTAAATTGATAAGACCAAGAGGGACTCCAAAGGCAAGATTGAGAGATACAAGGCCAGGCTTGTCGCCAAGGGCTTCCAGGGTTCGACCGTCATCTTGGAGAGGTTCACTCTTACAAAAAAGTTTCACTCGTCCAACCCTCTCTTCCTAACTTCCATACTCCTTTCACCTATCGGCGAATAACTATAGTTATGCCTTGAACAGCTTCTATTGGCCAACCAAGCCTTTCTGATGCACTTCACTTAACTTATTAGTGGCAGCTTTCTTATTGGCATTGGAGCCAATTTCATTACCACCTTCCCACTCTTCGCTGACACTCACCTGGAAGACTTCTACCCGAATTAAGCATTAAATTCTCATAAACCGATTCACTCTAATGACGAAAGTGAAGAAAAAGAAAAGAAAGGAAGAGACGATCCGATGTAGCATGCCCGAAGAGGAACAAACCCCTCAGACCACTATGGAAAAGATCGATTTCAAAGGCGATCTGATCAATTTCTCCTGCACGTCTAGCATCTTTATTTACTGGGATCACCAGAACTAAGCCCAGTGAGTCACCAACCATATTACTAAACAGTGACACCTACTTGCTTGTTCGAAACTAGATCTTGATCCTGCTCTTCCGGGAGAGAAAGTTCTTTTATCAAAGAATTTGTATTCTCGATGCTTTGAATAGCGTAGTTTCGTACCCAAGGGATTCGACTTTCCTTCTGATCTACGACCACCCTCTACTCATAGAACATAGGGAACTAAAAACCACAGAATGAAGGAATCCGCATGGAAGGCTCTCGACCGGGTCATGGCATTGCTCTGGAGTGGAGCCGGGGTAAGGAGCGAGTTCAGTTCCCCTCGGGGAAGAATAGGCAGCTGTTAGAGTAGCGGTCGGTGGGAATAGGACTAGCTTTCTTTACAGAACAGATTCAAGTGCCATCCTCCAGGCTGTTGAAGGAATAGGAACAGCTCTTGTTCACGACTCTGCTGCCATTGAATCTGTTGAGTTTGCTCCTATCGTAGATAAGAGAAAGGCAGCTTAAAGGAAAGCAGTTGTAAGAGAAAAATCCCCTACCCAGCATTAGACTTTATTACCGCCGTTGGACTAAAGGCATTGGGAAAGGGCCTACCCCTACTCGAAAGGAAGTGAAGTCGCCCAGTGAAGGAACCGAGGGAGAAGCTTTTTATAAGAAAAGTAAAAAGCTGGAATCCGAGAAGAGGATAGGCTAAGGCGCAGAGAGGTGCATTGATGCCCAGACTAAGCTCTTAAAAGATCATCAATTCCTAATGAAATAGATGTAGCAGTGGCTTGCTGGAAACCCAGAGTCTTTACTTGATCCAGGATGTGTGATGTATATGCCATTCCGAAGTGATCTATGAATCGACTAATAATTCGTTTAATGGCAGTTCCATCTATCACTTTATTGTGAAAGAACAGATTGGCCCGTTCGGCCATAAATACCTCCATATTCCGCTGAATAGGGCTCGGCAATAGATTTGAGTTAATGCTTGGAAAACTTCCTTTTCTCGATCTTGATTCGCGTAGAAATTCAGGAACTATAGTCCTAGTTGCACCAAAGAGATCTGAATTCACACCGATGTCATAGAATTACTTAGCTTAGATCCCTATGATTAGATTAGGTACCGCCTGAGCAGGCTTGGCAAAACCCTTGTATAGCTTCTTCGATTTCTCGATAAAGAGAAATATGACCAACAGTGGTTCGAATGTATATAGAAAGAATTTTTTTTTATACTTCTTACTATTAGATAGTGTCCATAAATCTCATGATAGGTACCTAAAGATTCAAAGTGACCCTCAATGGGAGCTTCTCTTGAAGCAATAAGGCCTTGATCTAGTTGCCACCGAAGCCACAAAGGGCTCTCTAAATTGATTCTTTTCTGGCGATAAGCTCCAATTGCATCATAGGAATTACAAAAAAAGGGTTCTTTCATATACTTATCCTTATTAGCGTTAGCGTCAATTTTTTCATTTTAAAAATTTCTGCAATTAAACGGATTATACCTATTTGCGCAAATACCTCGACGATTCCCGCTTGTTAATACATAGAGCCCCATAAGCATATCTTGAGTTGGTACGGAAATGGGATCTCCAATAGCTGGAGACAAGAGATTCATATGAGAAAACATAAGTAAACGAGCCTCCGCTTGAGCCTCCAACGATAAAGGTACATGAACAGCCATTTGATCCCCATCAAAATCTGCATTGAATCCCTTACGAACTAATGGATGTAAACAAATAGCACGTCCTTCCACTAAAATGGGTTGGAATGCCTGTATGCCTAATCTATGCAGAGTAGGCGCTCTATTCAGCAATACAGGATGTCCCCGCATAATCTCCTGAAGTATTCCCCTGGCTCTTTTTCCCGAATTTTACTCTTAGCAACTCCTATGTTTGAAGCAAGCCTAATTAGACCACGAATTACAAATGTCTGGAAAAGCTCTATTGCTATTTCGCGAGGCAATCCACATCGATGTAATGAAAGTGAGGGGCCTACGACAATGACGGAACGCCCCGAATAATCAACCCGTTTGCCAAGCATAGTCTCACGAAACCTTCCCTCTTTGCCTTCAATTACATCTGAAAACGACTTGTAAACCTTATTATGACCGTCTCTCATTGGTTGTCCGCGGATTCCATTATCAAGAAGTGTTTCTACGGCTTCTTGTACCTCCTGACACATTACTAATTCCCCTGGTGTAGATCTACTTGTTGTTAATAGATCCGTAAGAGTATTGTTCCGATAGATAACTCTTCTATAGAGTTCATTAATATCTGAACTCATTAGTTTACCTCCATCTATCTGAATGATGGGTCTCAATTCGGGAGGAAGAACTGGTTTTATGTCTATTACCAGTTCTTCCATCCTACTCTTTTCTTAAAATATAGTAAATATCGTAAAGGCAGATGTAGTAGGGGTTGCAAACCGGACGGTACACAACTTGGTTTTGGAAGATATGGCACTAAAAGTTGTAAAGCTGGTCGTCTTTCATATCGAGCCATTGAAGCAGCGCGTCGGGCTATAATCGGACAATTCCGAAGAAATGGTAAGATATGGGTAAGAGTTCTCGCGGATCTCCCTATTACCGGGAAACCTACAGAAATAAGAATGGGAAGAGGAAAAGGAAATCCTACGGGTTGGATTGCTCGTGTTTCTACGGGACAAATTCTATTTGAAATGGATGGTGTGAGTTTGTCAAATGCTCGACAAGCCGCTACATTAGCGGCGCATAAACCATGTTCGTCAACCAAGTTTGTTCAGTGGTCGTAACGTAATTGCTTAGTGGGGGGCCGGGATTCAAAAGAATTAGGCGAAGTCGTTCTTCCTGAACGACGGAAGTCAAAAGACAGAGAGGGAGAGGGATATACTCCTTTTGTAATCGCCGAAATTGTACGATGAACTCTTTCAGACGTACGACCTATAAACTTTTATAATAGGATCTTGCAGTAGTTCGATCCCACTCTTCCGAGTGCCTAATTGAAGGCTGTTCCTCCCAGTGATTGACTTCCTCTTTTTCTATGGGGATATGCGGGAATCCTTTACAATCAGTGCAACTAGGTCTTCTTTCTGAGCTGTTGAGTTAAGGGGAGAGTGAGAAGCCTTTCTCTTTTTTCTCTAGTAGTGAGTAAAGAAGTAGTCTTTCTTAGTTTGAAATCTGGGGCTTATAAGATCTAGGACTGAGAATTTTTAGTATTTCCTTGATTTTGGGCAGCTGATCTCAGGGTAAGAGGGCCTACGCGCAAGTACAAAGACAAGGACCGCTGAAGACGTGTCTTCATTCCCAATCCTGCAGCTATAGCTAGGGCTTTGGAAGACTAGTACCAAATGGCTAACATCTCCTCCTTTAGCGGTCTTCCTCCTTCACTTCATGAAGGGGGAAAGATGCCCTTCTAAAGAGACAGGATTCCACGACTCTGCTGCTATTGAATTCTCTGTTAGGATCGGAAATCTATCTTAGTTTGGAATAAGTAGTGTTTTTTTAGTGAAGTATGCCATCAGTGACAAAAGCAAAGGAGGATTGATGGCATGAACCGGTATGCTCCATTCGAGAATCCTCTCAGGAGGCGGACAGGTGATTGGACGGACGGACTTTTTGGTAATTCGAGATTGTAAAGGATTTCACCCTGCCTGGCGAAAAAGCCCCCACTGAAGAGGACCGGGTAGTCTCCATAGGGAATCAGGTTCTTCCCTTGATCTGTTTCTAATAGTTGGTGAGGGGAATCCGATAACCCTTCAAATTGAAAGATAAAAAGTACTAACCGCCGCTTCCAGGTAAGGATAAAGAAGTGAACCCGAATTTTCGGGGGGAAGGAACTTAATATAACAATAACAAGCAAGACCAAGAGATATGACCAAAAAGGCCTTGTCACGAGCTGGACTCGAACCTGCACCTCTGGGAGCAAAAGACATACCCAGCGAACTACCTTTTATTCTGATCATGACTAAACTAAAAAAGAAAGAAGAGAAGAGAAAGAACTGGAAGTTGGCGCCTGCTTGCTTACCAAGCGATCCTGGCAAGCTCCTCCAGTTCTATTATTATTCTTGACTTGACTTCTTATTATAAAAACAACTCACTATAAAAATAAAAGACGATCGATTATCTATCCAAGAAGATAGAGAGTCCCACATACGAGAAAAGGTCACAAATAGAGTTGAACCAAGTAACATTGCAAAGGCATAATGATAGTAGGGTCGGGATATCCCCGCCCTCCGAACCGGACGTGAGGGTCTCCCCTCATCCGGCTCTCTGCAGGGGAATCTCCACTCACTGCTTCCCCTAATATCCTCCCTTTACCACATCATGGGGGTTTACAGGAGATCCCAGAGGCTCGCTCGGAAGGCTGCGATACCATAGCTTTTGACTCAACTCTACTCTAGTAGTCACTAGACTTATTAGAGTAGTCCGTCCGGCTGCTCTTGCTGAAATCATTACTCTTCATTCTCCCGTGCTCTAGCAATTTCGCTCCCTAGACCACTACCATGTAGTTAGGTAGGGGCAATCAATCCGTAGTGACGGGAATCTAGGAATGAATGGGGATCCCTATCAATATAAAAATGAAGAATACATTATTAGTTACACTACCTTTCTCTCACTCAATAGATGTATCTAGTCTGATACGGTACAGTACAATACGAGACGATGGAATGCAATGGGATGGATGGTAGAGGGCTGCCTGCGCCCAAAAGCGATGATTCACTTGTCCTCTTGTCCATAGGGACCTCGTGGCATACAACCGAAACGACTCCCACTAGATAGCCGCCCCTTTCTTTCTTTTTACAGCCTCGTGGACGGACGAAAGAAGGGAAGTTACAGAACGGGGCAGTGGGCTCGCGAAGTAGACAGCAAACAACAGCTTCTCAGCCCCCTTTACTTTATTATATATATATAACAAGAGCGATTATATTCATATATATTATACAAGCGCTAGCGCGCCCCTTTCTCTAAAGGGGCGTAAGCACTTCACTCGCTAGGGGATGGGATTCATTCACTTGCATTCCTGCTAGCACTACAAAAAGCTCCGGTCTTAACGCCCTTACTACTGCTGTGCAGCCTTTCCTCGGGTTCGTAGAGTCGGGTTTACCGTTTACCCACAACGGGGGAACCGCCCCCACCAGGCAGGCGGCCACGGGTCATAATGCACTCTTCGCACAACAAATCCACTTTGAAGTTGACTTATTCGCTCGGCCAATCGTCGGAATGTGTACGAGATACCATAAGGGCCCAATATCTCAATAGCGCCTTTGTCTAAAGCTTCGAATGAGACTTCATATCCGAAACGCAGGAAGGATCTGACTAGAAAGTCATTCAAAACTTGATCGAAGAACCAGCGTTTATTGAAGAAGGTATAGAGTCGATTACAAAAAGTACTAGTTTGAAAGGCTCGTTGGAATTGATCCGCTACGGGATTTACATTATACGCAACAGAAGCACCTGAAGTACTAAACAGAATAGGTATTAGTTTGGTAATGGTTGGAGCAGCAAACTCGGATTCGGCAAGAATCTCATTTTTTGGTAGTACAAAGGGGGAATTGGCCCAAAAATGGGATAGGGGTTAAGACGCAGTCGGGCGCCGGCGGCTGACTCAAGTGCCCCCCGAACCGCGCGAAATGGTCGCCTATTACACGGCTCACTAACTCTGCCTGAGGTGGGGGTACCTATTATTCGTCGGCGGTCCGGCGCACCCCTACTCACTTAAATAAAGGATGCTGCTTAATTACGAAGGTTATTTATACTTAATCTAGAGAGTTCTCTTTCGTTAAGCGCATCGAGCCAGGAGTGGACATCATCATCTGCAGTGCAGACAAATCCAGATCCTGTTTCATCATTAGCTTAGCTAAAGTGGAATAGTATGACTGGCTTTCCGGAAAATGAGACGAAACCAGCTTTTTCGAAATGATCAACATGCGCTCAAAAAGACCTCCTAAACCCCCTCTTGCCAAGTGATCGAGTTTAGTCTGAGTCTGAATTTGCTGTATCAGTTGCTCCCGCTCTGGACTGACTTCAAGGAAAGATAGGATTGGGCAATTCCGCCGGTTCTGGAGCTTACCTTATTATTATGAAAAGGGGAAAGGGATGTTGTTGACGAACCTGCTGTTGTTGGAGAACAGTCTGTCGCACTTAACTGGGAGGGAGGCTGGTGGCACACATTAAGATATTCCCCGAGTAGGATTAGTTATCGAGTCAGGCTACCTAACTCCACCCCCTGGAAGCTTTAAGCTACCTTTCTACGGCCTACAGATAGTCTTATAATGCCAGTTATGATGCTTGCATAGGTCCTATTGGATTGGAGCCTAAAGATTGCCCTTTTTTCAGTAATAGGAATGGTAGACCTCCGAAGAAGCTTCTACCTACGAATCGGACCCATCGATCGAAGAAAGGGCAGTATGGAATGGGTAATTCCACTACAACTAATTTATAGATAGGGAGCTGCTCTTTCCCTTGCTTGTTGGGGCATCTTGCATCTGACAAGTCATATGGTCCCTTATATAACTCGTTGAAGGGATTCCTTTCCCGTCGATTAAGGCAACCGCTCGTCCCATCACCAAGATGGGGAGTTCTTGCATTGTTCCTTCATTTCCAAGCAGCAAGAGAGGGAAGTACAACATGTGGAGAAGTCTCCTCCTTGATCCAAACTAACATTCTTACGTCCAAAAGAAGCCCTTCCGGGCCCTATCTTCCTTTCCGCACCGCTTCCTTATCCAGCCGAGTCAGTAAACTATCTCTATCCCGCCAATAACTTCTCCTTCTCACTTCCCTAGGAATGAACGATCAGCTGCGTTAACGAAACAAAAAAGGGCCCCTTACGATTAAAGACAGGGCGTGCCTCACTGCCAACAGCATCCGCTTCAAACAGCGCAACTGTTGAAATACCGACAGGTGCCCCTAGATCGGCTTATACAGGAGTCCCCCCATGTAATGAATTCCTAAGGATTATTCCATCACTCAGAATGTGGCACGTAAGTCACTCAGGATTTTTTCTAGGTAACATTGAATCATGGCATAAGGTCCTATAATGACCGATGTAGCAGCAAGAGGCACCCATCTGGTGCCCGGGAAAAGACGTAGTTCATATGACAACTAAGCAAGTGACGGAGTGAGGGGTCAAACTCAATGCTGGCAAGCCTCAGGAAAATATGGGTAAGCCCGATGGTTCAAGTCGAGCCTAGCCAACAACCAACATCAGCTTCTAGGGATAGTAGGAGCTCCAGTTGCTCCAACCATTCTAGTGGACCGGTCGAGGCCAGCAGCTATGAATACCCTGTGCCGGTTGTGCGAAGGCAGCAGATCGGGATCGAAGAGAACTCCAGATCTATGAATAGCCAACAAACAGCCTAGCTCGATTACTGGAACTAAACAGCAACCC